CTTTTGTTTTTCTTCGCCATATCTGATGCAAATTACTGTGTGTAATTTGTTTCAACAAATTTAGTAACGTACCTTCTAACAAATTTGCACATTCCATCATGTAGAAACTGAACTGTACCTAAATTTTGACCAGCTATTTCCAGTAGACGTATTGACGTGTCGGTATGTGAGGATTGAGAGAGACAAAACTGAGGATAACACATTAAGAGTTAATAGAGCAAAAGGACACGTCGCCCAATCCTAGCCGCGCAATTCCATCCTGCAGGAAACATTTAATTTTGATGCTGTCCTGAAATTGGAATTGATTGATGAATATGACTGATGAAGCTTTTTTTTTTTTTTTTTTTTTTTTTGTTTTTTGAACCTGGTTACATTGTTTGGAAAAAAGGAAATGGATTGGCTTCAATCCAAGACCTATAAGAAACTTATGCGGAGAACTACTACTACTTGCTCTATTTAGGAGTTCTCATTACGGATTAAGTTTGAAAGGATTTAACAAGGGAAAAAAAAATGAAAGAAGAAGACGAAGACTTCACAACGAAAAATGGATTAAAAAAAGTGGGGCTAGTGTTATATAAAGACTAGCTGCTGTGAAAACAGAAGGCATACATTCTTCACAAGCACTCCTTTTCATCATATTTTGCCTAGAGCCTAAGCCTAATTATAGGGTTTTTCTTTGAAAGATCAAAGATTGTTGGAGGCTGCAATGATGGGAGATGCTGTAGCATTAGATGATTTGTTAAAAGAGGATCCACTTGTTCTCTGGAGAGTGTCTTTGTCATCTAGAGCAGAAACATCACTTCATGTTGCTTCACTTGCCGGGCATGTTGATTTTGTGAGAAAGATCGTAGAGCTGGTGCCTTCATTTGCGCAAGAGCCTAACAAAGATGGTTTTGCCCCAATTCACCTGGCGACAGGTGCAGGGCACTTAGAAGTGGTGAGGGAGCTTTTGAACAAGGGGGATTCCGACCTGTGTTTGTTGAAGGACAAAGCAGGGAGAACGCCACTCCACCATGCAGCCATGAAAGGGAGGATCCATATTATAGATGAGTTGCTATCAAAGTGTCCTCATCAAAAAGCCATGGAGCAAGTGACTTCCAACGGTGAAACTGTTTTACACTTGGCAGTAAAGAACAGTCAATTTGGAACATTCAAAGTCCTGTTTGAAATATCAAAAAAGCTAGAGGATCATGAGGGGCGAGTAAATGCAAAAGATAAGGAAGGTAAAACAGTCTTTGAGATTGCAAATACAAATGCAACAAATCATGTTCAGGTATCAATATCATTAATTTACCGCAGTTCTCTTTGTTAATTCAGTTATTAATTTCTTCAGTGCAATTAATTTCCATTTTTTGGATATTGCCATGCATATTGAATTCAAAGAATGATCGGAGTAAATTAATGAATTGTGGTGAAGATTTTTAAATAGTTCATAGAAGGCTACTTTAGATTTTGTTTAGTTTGCATACCCATTTTAATTTAAAAAAATTAACCACATTCTTTCACCACCATCGTC